GCGCCCCGCCCCCCGGGGCCACACGCGTCGGTGGGTAGCCCGGGGAGGTGCGGGCGGGATTTCTCCCACCACAGGGACCTCCAGGTACCTCTGCCGACGGCCTGTGGCCGGGGTCTCTATCATTTGGCGCTGCGGGCCGTGGGCTGCTGGTGAATGGCGACACCCCCCCTCCAGCGGAGGCTCGTGTGTGCGCGCGTGTGTGTGCTCGGGGTGGGGGGAGCGCGCTGTCGGCCCCCTCAGTCCTAAAACACCGGTTTCATCAGAGCCAGGAGCTAGGGGATGGGCCCATTCCCTCGCTGGTGCCCACGCTGCCCAGGGATGGATCTCCCCTCACTCATCCCAACCAAGAAGTTCTGGAGATCTCTGCATCCCCCCAAACCCTACGGTGTCCCCAGATCCCTTTCCTCCTTCAGTCCTTCTTCCTGGAAGCCCTTCCTGATTTCCCTGCTCCAATTCATTGCCTCTTTGCATGCATTGCTCATAAGTAGCATTCCCACACGCGTTTGCCCTGCATTTCCTTGGTACCAGAGCCCAGAGACCCCCCCAGGACTCGGCCATCTGTGCCCCTGGGAAGCCTACCGGCCAGCCCCAGAAAAGCCTCAGAGTGAAATATCCCTGGGGTGTCCTGAGTCAAGTGCCCCAAGACCCACCCGCGGGGGGGGGGGGCGCAGGGAGGGAGGACGATCAAGATACGGTCCTGGAAGGCAGCATTTGGACTGCTTCTAGAAGGATGTAGGATGAGAAGAGGTCATATGTGGAGTGGAGAGGGGATCAGGCCAGGGGAGATGGAGGATGGGCATCAGGAGAGGCCTTGGGGGCTCTGCTGCAAACTCTGCTTTGGTTCTGGACTTTTCACCCATAATACTTCTTAAAATGCTTGCAAGATAGGTGTGAGAACCCGAGGTGAAATAACCTGCATGAGGTTCCACTCTGAATCAGTCGAGCTCGTGCCACCAGAACTCCACCTATTGCACTTGGCCCTGGTCATGGAAGGGTGTGGGCAGAGCTGGGACAAGACTGGCTTTGCCCTTTAGAAAGAGTCCCCTGGCAGCTGCTCAGGTTGGGGGGCAGTGCAGAAAAAGAAAGGCCAGTGAGGACCTCCCACCAAGGGTGCTGGTAGGAGGGGCTGTGGATAGCCTTAGAAGGTAAAATGGGCTGGGCTGGGTTTGGGGCCTCCGAGACCCCAGTTGTTTCTGGCTTTGGAAGGAACACAGGAGGGGAGAGGAGTGGCCTCCATGGGCTGGAGGGACCTAGATGTGTAACCCCCAGGTAGGGTCCATTTGGCCTCTTTGTGATGGCTAATACTGTGTGTAATGTCCGAGGCACTGAGGACGGATGGGAGAGAGAGAGGCAGTGCTGGGCAACAGGCTGTCATCTCAGATCCCTGATGCCAGGAGACTGCCTTTGCAGACCATGCTCAGTTACACGAAGCAGTGCAGGACCCTGACCCACAGACAAAGAAGTTCCTGCTTCTCAGGAAGCATATCCCCCTCCTTGTCCTGCCCTGCCAGGATTTTGAGGAAAGAAGCTGCAACAGTCCAAGCTTGGAAAAGGCAAGGGGCAGGGAACCATGACAGCTTAGAATCATGGCAAGAAGCTCTTTAGGGAGCAAGGCTCCAAGGAGAGTTTCTGAGAGTTGACAATTAAGGATTCCCCAGGTAGAGCACAGGGAAAGGAGGCTTGGGACAATGGCCCTGGGACCTTGTTTCCATCCAGTACTCTGTGCATCTAGGCCTGGCTGGGGACCACCCACCCTGGAGGGAAATGGTGGGGCAGAGTGACCAGCCCCAACCTATGGTGAGATTCTCCTTTCCTGCATCTCAGAGAAGGCTGCACTGATATTTGCACTGCACCTGCAGTTTACAAAGCACCTTCCCAAACATGATCCCCTGCCACTCACGAGGAACATGATCGCTGCTGAGGCTTGTTCCTGGCCACACCCGGGCCTCTGGTGCAGCCCTCTCCCTAGCCCCCTTCCTTGATCCTCCTTCTCTCTATTGGCACCTTCCTTCAGCATATCAACACACTTGGCTTTCTACTATGGTTAATTTTAAAATTCAAAAAACCCTTGGATCCCAAACCTCCTTAAACCACTGCCTTCTCCACCTTTCTCTGTTAGCAGGAACTCTGCCATTTCTTTATCTGCACCCTGTGGTCTACTGTCCCCACTCTAGCCCTGTGGCCTGCCTTCGCTGGGCACCACTTTTCTGAAACCATTCTGATATTGACACTGGTGATATCTCAGCTGGCAAATCCTAGGTACACTCTTCAATTGCAATTTTACCTGGCCCCTTTTAACACTGGGAACTACCTCTGCATTCCTGAAGCCCCTCATCTCGGCCTTCAGGGCTCACCTTCTTCTGGCCCTCTTCCTGCTCCCAGACTCCTGTGGCTCTGCTGCTGTGGCTGAATGCTGGACCCCACCCAACCACCTCTGAATACTGATAATCCCAGTCTGTCTCCATCCAGTGCTTGAGAGATATCTTCCCCTGGTGTTCCCCAAAGCACCTATTTCCCCCAGGCAGACTCCTCCTGTCATGTTAGCTCCTGACATGTTAACCCACCCTGGAACACAGTCTCCTCCTTGGCCCTGCCACCTGAACCCATTTGCATGAGATTTTACCAGTTCCTTCTCCCCACATCCTATCCAGGCCTTCCCACTGGTGCCAAACCGGAGGCCATGCAGACTCCACCCTCCCAAGTCCCCAGCTACTCCTTCCAATGCACCCAGGGATGGCAAAAGAGGGGTCATGCTGAAGGCAAGAGAGGGGTTTGCAGGGCCGAGGGTGCAGGCTGGAGTATGCTGGGGAGTAGCATCAGGGCAAGGTCTAGGGTGAAACAAGAGAGACACTCTTGGGGTCGTGCACTCACTGATTCTGCACTTCAGCTGTGTTCCGGGTGCCTCTCGTGATTCACCCTAGGCCTAGCTCTGGCATGTGGAGATAGACTGGCCCACGAGTGGCAAAATGCTCTTCTCCATACCCTGGGAGACAGGTCCTGAGAGAATGGAATTCTGCAAAGGCAGTGGACCAGTAGTAAACTTCCCAGCAGCCCAGGGCTGTCATTCCTGGTGTGGCCAGAAGACTCCTGAAGGACAAGAGTTTTGTCAGGCTCCCTTAGTCTGGGCCTGATAGAAAGGACACAGCATTAGAACAGGACATCTGGGTAGAAGATGGTCTACCGAGCACTCAAGGGCTTTAGGGTGCCACATTCACCTTGATAGGAGGGAGTAGGGGGTAAGGACCCGAAGGGTGCTGCCTCCCATTCCTGGCACTTGTATTTGAGGGTCTCACCCGTGGCAGGCACTGCCTGGTGCCCTGCCCGGCTGCATTATGCGGATCTCTGGGGCAGGTGTTCCTGGGTGCAGACTTGAGACAAAGGAACGAGGAAGCAGGGCCTCCCTGAGTGCAGGTAACCTGAGGCCTTGCCCCCCCTGCTCCTGTGGGCCGTCTTGGAAGAAGGGGGCGCACACCCACAGAAGGGCTTGGAGGACTTCATGGTGAATTGAGCAGGGTCAAGGTCCACAGGGCGGGGGAAGGGGAGGGGTATAATCCAGGAAGTCTTCCCGGTGGCAGTGAATTCTCAGCAGGGCTTCTCCTGGGCACCGCTGGGTGCCCCTCCCCCCGCCCACCTGTGGGAAATGCAGGCCCCGGGGGAGGCTCCGCCAGCGCCAGCAGCTGGCGCCACTGCGTCCTCTGCTCAGGCCTCAGTCAGCCTGGGGACCTCCGCGGAGTACTCACCTTTGGAGGGGGCCTCTTTTGCCAGGGCCCCCGCGCGGCCGAGTTGGGAAGACCTCCGGGAGGGCTCTCTTGCCACCCTGCAGGTGCGGCCCCGGTCCGTCTGCAGGGGGCGGGGCGTGCCCGTGGTGGCGCCCACCCGCGACCCAGATGTGCGGCGCCGCGGCAGCCCCCGCCCATCCAACCCCCCCAAGACTCCAGTTTCCTCCCGCGCCCGCCGCCTCGGGGCGCCAGGCATTTGGCAGCCCCACGAGGTAGGTCCTTCATTCTTCCCATTTTGCAGAGGAGAAAACTGCAGTTCGGGATGGCTCAGTTGGCCTGTCCAAAGTCGTGCAGCTGCTTCGGGCCGAGCCCCGACTGCGAGAGTGAAGCACATGGCCCCTGCAGACCGGGCCTTGGAGGGTCCCAGGCTTGAGGACCTGTTGGCCCCTCACCCCCTTGGAAAGGCAAGGAGAGAAGCCTGCGCTGGTAGTGAGCTTCCACTTCTGCCCTTGACTGCAACACCCTAGGTTAGGGGCTGGGAAGGACCCCCACTCTCAATTTTTGGATGGATAGGGGTGTGTTTCTCTCCCTCCCCTAACTTCTGAGCTTCCCTGTTGGGTGCAGGTACTCCTCTTCCCTTCTAATCCCATCTCCCCAACCCATGAGGTTGGGATGTAGGAGCATAGACTCAGGGTAAAGAAGTTCTAAATTCTGGGGGTTGCAGCAAAAAGTTGAAAGGGCCACTGGGTCTCGGAGGCCCATGACCAAGGTGGGGTTGAGGAAGAAGTTTAGGGGTGGAATGCTGAGCAAAGCTGGGAGGGAATGTGCATGGTGCCCTGGGGGTTGAACTTTATCAGGTGGGCAACAGGCAGCCCCCATTTCCAAGCTCTCTCTCTTACCCCCCGCCCAATTCCTTCACCTCAGATGCCTGGGGATTCTTTGTGCCCATTGTAAAGAAGGGAACACTGAGGGGCAGGGTGGTGCTGGGGCTGACTTAGCTGGGGTGGTGGGAGCAAGGGTGGGGTCTGATCTAGCTCTGTCTTCTCACCTGTCCTCACAGTGCCTCCCTGGCTTAGTCATGGCGAAGCTGGAGACACTGCCTGTGCGTGCTGACCCAGGGCGGGATCCCCTCCTGGCCTTTGCCCCACGGCCCTCTGAGCTTGGACCCCCAGACCCACGCCTGGCCATGGGCAGTGTGGGCAGTGGGGTGGCCCATGCCCAAGAGTTTGCCATGAAGAGCGTGGGCACCCGCACAGGGGGTGGGGGCAGCCAGGGCAGTTTCCCAGGCCCCCGCAGCAGTGGCAGTGGGGCCAGCAGGGAGAGGCCAGGCCGCTACCCCTCAGAGGACAAGGCTCTTGCCAACTCCCTCTACCTCAACGGCGAGCTGCGGGGCAGTGACCACACTGATGTCTGCGGCAACGTGGTGGGCAGCAGCGGGGGCAGCAGCAGCAGCGCTGGCAGTGACAAGGCCCCGCCACAGTATCGTGAGCCCAACCACCCACCCAAGCTCCTGGCCACCTCTGGCAAGCTAGACCAGGTCAGTCCCCAGGGCCTGAGGCCCTCACAGCCTTTTCTGGGAGTGGCAGGCAGCCCAGAGAGGAGGGTAGGGTGGACCTTCTCGGAGGTTGGGTTACGGAGCCAGGATGGTGCCCAGGGGCCAAGTGCAGCTGGTGGATCCAGGACAGGGACCTGACTTGGGGGAGCCATGCACTGGGGACCTCAGGATGGAAATGCAGTAGGGGTGGGAGGTGAGGCTGAACAAGCCTCGGTGGGAAGGAGGAGGCTGGGGCCAAGGCTGAGACCTCACCCTGATGCCCACTCCACATTCCTGGCTTTTACACAGTGTTCAGAGCCACTAGTTCGGCCATCGGCCTTCAAGCCTGTTGTACCCAAGAACTTCCACTCCATGCAGAACTTGTGCCCCCCGCAGACCAATGGGACTCCTGAGGGACGACAGGGCCCTGGTGGCCTCAAGGGTGGACTGGACAAGTCTCGGACGATGACCCCAGCGGGCGGGAGTGGGGGCGGCCTCTCAGACTCAGGCCGGAACTCACTCACAAGCCTGCCCACCTACAGCTCCAGCTATAGCCAGCACCTGGCGCCCCTCAGTGCCTCCACCAGCCACATCAACCGCATCGGCACCGCCAGCTACGGTAGCGGCAGTGGTGGCAGCAGCGGTGGGGGATCGGGCTACCAGGACCTGGGGGCCTCCGACAGTGGGCGGGCCTCCAGCAAGAGCGGGTCCTCGTCATCCATGGGGCGGCCAGGCCACCTGGGATCTGGGGAGGGGGGAGGTGGGGGCCTGCCGTTCGCGGCCTGCTCCCCACCCTCGCCCAGTGCCCTGATCCAGGAGCTGGAGGAGCGGCTGTGGGAGAAGGAGCAGGAGGTGGCCGCTCTGCGGCGCAGCCTGGAGCAGAGCGAGGCGGCGGTGGCCCAGGTCCTGGAGGAGCGGCAGAAGGCATGGGAGCGCGAGCTGGCTGAGCTGCGGCAGGGCTGCA